TGATCACCAGCATTTTTAGATCTCGGTTCAAGCATGTTGCTTGCTTATTGGCTCGCTGATGAGATTTACTCTTCAGGTATTGAAATCTGGTACCGAACAACAAGACATCTATAGATTCTCGTTAGTATCAAAGCAGTTTGGTTGATGCCATTAAAGTTTTCGAATTTCAGTACCTACTCATAACACTGTAGAGATGCCGGGTGTACGATCCATGGAAAAATCCAGCAAATTGGTTTGTAGTCATTCAGCCAGTGGACAGGCCGCTCCACCACAAACATCTCTAAATGCACATTAGGGCACAGATTGTACAAATTATTTGGATCACATTTTAGTTCTGATAGTAAGTTAGTTAAAATTGCTTTAATATTGGTGTGGGAAAAACAAATCGTCGATCATCCGTTCAGCTGCCGATATATGATCCAATCGCCAATCAGCACAGGCCTGAACTTGGGAGTGCCATTTAATTACAAAGTAAAACCCCCAAATCTTAATACTGTCTCCTCCCACTTGAAAGCTATAACCGCCGACTTTTTAATAATATATATATATATTTTTTTTTTGTCTGGAGTGTCTTTCATCTTTTTTCCTAAACTCAAATTTATGTTTCCATTCACAGTTATAGAAATTATATTAGTTTTTAATGTGTCACAGGCTTGTTTTGTACATTGCGATTCTACACAGTATGAACACAGATGAAGCAATGAAAAACTGGATGTACAGGGCAGCTTTAGTTTTAAGTGGGCAGCTTTCCTTCTTTGAATGTTGAAGATGTAAAAGTCACTATTGTGTTGTAAAACTACATGATACTTTATCACTGTGTTCATCACAAACAAGCTGTGTTTTATCGCTGTGCCACTGAACTAAACTGAACCTTTCCCTGCTATGTGTTTGGCTTTCTAAGACACTGTGTGTAGTTGGTGTCAGCGTGTGTGTGTGTGTGTGTGTGTGTGTGTGTGTGTGGGTGCAATTCTGGTTGGGGGCCATTCATATCAAATGTGAAGTGCCTGCCTACAGGAAAGATAGGGCAGCCGCAACATCCTGACGCACCCTTCACTTCCAACAATGCAGGCAGATGGACATGCACGCACGCGGAGCTTTGCGTGTTTTACCACATGCACATTATTTTTTGATGAGCAAGCTTTATTTTTATGTCTTCGTTTCAGGTGACACATATGCAAAGAGCTAGAGATCTGATATTGATTTAATTTTAGTTTCCCCTGAGCTCTATAAAGACTAAATAGTTAGCTATGCTCACACATATGAGCCTGTCCTTCTGTTTTCTTTCTAATGGATCTTATTTGCTTAGTTTTTAACCAGTGCAGCTCTGCAGTCTACACCTGCCCTGCTTCACTTGATCTTTTTATGTATAATTTCAGCCCAAAGCATGTTTTTACTCAATTTTGTTTTAAACGTGTGTCCAGTAGCATATGATTTAATATTGCAGTGAGTGCTGTCATACTGCTCCAGTGTTTAGCATTACTGCAGCTTGTATTCATTAGTTGTAAACTGTTTTGAGACCATGTTGCATGGTGATTTTACACTTGAAATAAAAGTTGAATGAAGGATTGGTTGTAGCTATGTTGACACTGATGAAGAACTGCAACCAACGCTGAGATGCTGCCTCTGCTGCGCAGCTAGAGTAGGCACTGTGTAACACACACTCACACAAATACATTCATGGTGCTGAAAATGTAATTTTAAGAAAGCAGAATTTCTCTATTAAATGGCAAGGAAGCCAAAGAGTGGGTTACGAATAAGACACTTAAATTCAAATGAATAGGCAGCATGTAAAACATAAAACACCAATTAAAAGATCTGCCGAATACTGTAGCTGGTAATGTAGCTGGCAGGGTGTGTTTGTGAATATGAATGACCAGAAAACATCCGTACAGTCACTGCAGGGCCATGGGTTTTTGCAGCCGTTAGTTTTTTCTGTTCTTGCTGTGTGTGAAAAACATTTAATACCTACATGCTTACTAATCGCAGGTTCCTCTGGATAAGAGCTGCAGCTAAATGCTTTTAATGTAAATGTAAGAGGGTTTATATGTGTTTTGTGTCAATCTCAGAGGCTCTTATCTCAGCTCCTGCTGAGCTTGCTGACCCACTTTCATTCTTATCTGCCCTGTCTCTCCAACACACACAAACACATTTTCATCTGACTTTATACTTTTTATTCTATCTGAGCTGTAACCCAAATGACCGTTTATCACATGTGCATATTTTATTTAATTATTTATCTTAGCTGCTGAGAGTCAAATAAGATTCTTTTTTTGCATACAGCATAGTTTAGACTTAACTTGGTATTTACGACGTTTGATAAATGCAAGAGGAGTTCACACTCTTAAGTGGAAGCAAATACTGAAATACAGAAAGACTTTTGTGTTATCTACATCCAGTAAAATCCACATGTTTTTCTTCTGTTGTGGCATTCCTCTCTGATGGCTTAGTGATTCCTGTTAAACACAGAAGGAACACAAACCTGAGGTTTGAAGCTGAACATGAGAGAGAACGATTTAGAAACGTGTGAAGAAATCACTTAGCCTGCAGGCGAATGGTTTACATTTTTGTCATAGCACAGCAAGTACTGTACAAAGGGCAAAAATAAGGGGATGGTATTGTGTGTGTGTGTGTGTGCGCATGCCCTCTGATATGCCCTGTGTTGTTGGACAATAGCTTCTCTATTAGAGGCCTCTCTCCAAGGCTGAAATAGTTGCCTGTCAGTCTCCCTCTCTCCTCTCTCTCCTCATCTTTCCTTCCTTCTCTGTCCCTCTGTGTTCTTCTTCTTCTTCTTCTTCTTCTTCTTCTTCTTCTTCTTCTTCTTCTTCTTCTTCTTCTTCTTCTTCTTCTTCTTCTTCTTCTTCTTCTTCTTCTTCTTCTTCTTCTTCTTCTTCTTCTTCTTCTTCTTCTTCTTCTTCTTCTTCTTCTTCTTCTTCTTCTTCTTCTTCTTCTTCTTCTTCTTCTTCTTCTTCTTCTTCTTCTTCTTCTTCTTCTTCTTCTTCTTCTTCTTCTTCTTCTTCTTCTTCTTCTTCTTCTTCTTCTTCTTCTTCTTCTTCTTCTTCTTCTTCTTCTTCTTCTTCTTCTTCTTCTTCTTCTTCTTCTTCTTCTTCTTCTTCTCTTCTTCTTCTCTTCTTCTCTTCTTCTCTTTCTTCTTCTTCTTCTTCTTCTTCTTCTTCTCTTCTTCTTCTTCTTCTTCTTCTTCTCCTTCTTCTCCTTCTTCTCTTCTTCTTCTTCTTTCTCCTTCTCCTCTTCTTCTTCTTCTTCTTCTTCTTCTTTCTTCTTCTCTTCTTCTTCTTCTTCTTCTTCTTCTCTTTTCTTCTTCTTCTTCTTCTCTTCTTCTCTTCTTCTTCTTCTTCTTCTCTTCTTCTTCTCCTTCTTCTCCTTCTTCTTCTCCTTCTCTTCTTCTTCTTCTTCTTCTTCTTCTTCTTCTTCTTCTTCTTCTTCTCCTCCTTCTTCTTCTCCTCCTTCTTCTTCTTCTCCTTCTCCTTCTCCTCCTCCTCCTCCCCCCCCCTCCCCCGTGTGAGTGTCACACAGTCAGTCATTATTTTCCCAGAATGGCTACTTTGCTGTTATTCCCTTAAGAGTCTTTGACATAAGAGCCCATGCACACTTAAACCCAGTGTTATGCTTGCTATGCTTAACTATTAACAGACTATGAGCACACAAACCGCTGTATCACAAACCTACTGATACGCGAATGTCGCCATAGATAAAGAGGTTCAGCATTATCTCCCACATATTGACAGTAATAAGACTTGGCAAAAAGATCACAGCCCGACCAATGCTGGATTTTTGAGGCAGACATCAGTAATGATGTTTGAGAGTTTAATAACAATATATGGGTAACTGCTAACATTTTTCACACAAAAGCCAAACACCACAAGCACAACAGTAAGACTGTACAAAGGCATTACAAGGGGGAGACTAAAGAGAGGTATAGGGGATAGCTTCAATATATAGGAATATATACAGGACTTAAATTTGGGGGACATTTTACAGTTGAAAATGTATATGTCAGTGCTCTCTGGTGCTCAATCTATGTCACAGGGAAACTTATTTTTTATTTTCAATTACCGGAACCACATCTTAGTTTCTGCATTTCAGTTTCTAACTACGTTGATAACGATATCTGTGATGAGTAATATCAGACTGGAGGATTTATCAATCAAGCTTTAACACAACCTGACAGAATAGAAGAAAGTGATTTTAATGGATAGATAGAAGATCAGGCTCAGTTACTGACCATCAGCTTGGTAGCTGGAGAGCTTAAGAGCATGGGGTGGACACCTGCTAATACTAGGACTTAAACCTGGACTCCCCTATTGACAGACAGTCTTGTTGATTGGCATCTGCTAACTGTGCCACAGCGTGGTTTGACCTATATACTAGAATTTGGGATGTGAATGTGTTTTTACGAGCTAGCTTTATTAAGGTAGATCAGACTCATGATTGAGTGCTGGCAGTTTGATTCGGGTTTGGTCTAAAAATAGGGATGCACTTATCCGACGTTTTCTTTCCAGATACTGATTCGCTCTCTTTTCCCAAATAAAACATCCGTGTGCCTCTTTCAACTGTTTGAAATAAGTTAAAAAGTTATAAAATTGAATTAAGTTGTCAGTGCAGTGTGGCTCTGACATGGATTGGGTTAGGTGGTCGTAACTCTCAGCCTCCTCCAGTTCTCTTCCTGTCACATTAACCGTGTGTGTGTGTGTGTGTGTGTCCTGTTGTATATGTCGCAGTCCACAGAGACAAAGGCAGGGTTTAGCTGTGTCTCATGATTTATTCATACGAGTGGTTGTGCAGGTGTGTATGCGTTATTGTTGTTGGTTTTTGTGTGTACAGTGGTAGGATTATTAGGGTTTTAAAACTTCAGGCATTAAGAAGCATACTCTGATCAATTGGGCTGAGGGGCTTACAGTCTTACCATGCTAATGTATAGTTGGATTGGTGAAGAAATACCATGGCCTTTTTCATTCATCTGTCTCCTCTGTCCTTCCTCACAGGCAACCCGACAAACTGGTCGTGGTTTGGACACGCAGGAGTCGACGGAAATCCTCCAAGGTTTGTATTTGAGTGGCATCCTGAAACTAAATAAAGAAATGATAAAACAAACAAAGGTTTTTTCACTTGTAACTATTATTCTTGGTTCTTTTGTCCCTCTGTCCTGCAGTCACACAGCTGGCAGCCCGGCATCAAAAATCCCTACAGAGGAGTAGTGGTGTGGCCTGTACCAGAGAACATTGAGATCACGGTCACTCTTTTTAAGGTAGGCTACAGCTGGTTAATGAGCACTGAGACAAGCATTTCTATGTTTAAGGTGGACTAGGGTGGTTACTGGGACATGAGGGTCTTATTCTAGTAGATAGCAGTAACAGTGACCTACACAAAAAATTAAAGTGATACCCACTTTTACCTCACCTTTAAAATTGGGAGATTTAGCACCAAATGTTAATTTTTATTTTCAAAATTTGCTAAATTTCTGTAAAAGGGGCGACACCCAAAAACAGCAGTGTATTTTTTTACTACATGAAAGGCATAAATACTAGATGATTGATATTAAGTGTGTTGATTTTAATTTTTTTGTGGAGAAATAGTATTAAAGCTAGGGAAGGTAACGTTGGAAAAACTAGCAAGAGACCACTTTTGAAAGTATCCACGCTGCCTCCTAATAGTCGACTAAACCATTAGTTGATCAGAAGGATCTTTTCATTAATCAGGTTGTCGCAGGAAAAAAACCCTGAAACCTCAAGCTCCACCTTGGAGCTGCACCTTATAATCGGGACGAAAGTATCAGGGATTGTTGCAACACAAACCTTTTCTCTTGTAACACAGAATTAACTTAGTGTACTGCTAACTCTAGCTGCAATTGGCTAGTTAGCCCAGGTAGCGGTCCTATCAGACGATTCTACCTGGATTTGGAGCTCGGCGTACCAGGCGAGTGTTGAAATTTGTTTACAACACTAGTACAGCCACAGACACTAGAGTTATTTAAATTTTTTCCAGAGCATTGATTTAATTGCTGTCAGGATGTAAAGAGAATTTTAACAAATATAATTAAAAAATGCTTCTGAAATACACTATATAGCCTAGCTTTAATAACAGAAAATGTCTTTGCATGCAGTTTTACAGATTGACATTTTTTACATTTTAATTTTATTTTATGACTGGAAGGTCCGTATACACAGTAATACAGCCGGTCTGTAAATGACAGGGCTTTACAGACCGTATCTGTCACCGTGCCTGGCTTACTTAAACATGCTGGGCCTCTGTGCTGACAGGCTAGCTCAGAGCTCAGTGTCTGGTTACCTGTCTCAATGTCTTGACGAGACCTCATGCCGCAAATACCTACTTACCTGCCTCTTCTTTGTGTAGGAATTACTTTTTGTTCATATGTAGTTGGTAATGAATAAACCTAACAACAATATACTGTAGCACAATAAGGCATTAGATACTTAGGGACTCGCAAAATAAGACTGGAGTGAAAGTGACAAAAATCTGAGACTTAAATTAAGCATATAAGCCACACTGTGATGTCTGCTGGTTAAAAGTGTACTGGCTCAGTTTTCTAGCGCGGCTGTCTTTCTATTCTGGGCCCACTTCCACTTCCTGTCCCAGAGGAAGTAATAAAGCTGTTTTTTTAATGATCACATTCACCCACATCTGTTTGGTATAGCCACAAATCAAATGGCCTCTGCAATCTCAAAGTTTTCTTGTTCTCTAGTTGCTACAGTTTGTTTGAGCACTAGGAGACAAACACAGCCCTGATAAACAACCAGCTTATCAAGTTGTTATTGATAATGTGTTACTACTTACACAAACATAGCAATATGTGGCCATCTGACTAATCTAAATCCAGTCTGATTTGGGCAAACTTGAGAAAACTATGTGGTTGCTTATGCCTTATTTCCACTGCATGGACGGCTTGACTCGTATGGAACAGTTCTGTTTTAGTTTTCCACTGGCAACAGTTGTGGATAGTAGTACTTGTTTTGGTAACACCTATAAGTCGATACTAAAAGGAGGAGTTAAAACACTGCAGACCACTGATTGATCAGAGGGAACAGATGCTCGACACGGGCCATCCTGCACAAACCTGCCATTTGTAAATAGCCAAGCTACCATCAATAGCAACTGCATTTTTATTTTTCCTTGCTTGAGTCAGATTTTAAAAGATAGCAGCCCCCAAAACCACAATTGATGGAAGTGCAGACCTTCCTCTGTTTGGCTGCTGATGAAAGCTATGGCAATAAGCTGAGAATCCCACCTACATGAGGGTAACTATCTGCAGTGGAAAACGAAATTGAAAAAAGTGCCGGTACTAAAAGCCAGTCGAGCCAAGCTGTACAATGCAGTGGAAATGAGGCTTTAGCTTACTAGATTCTCGACTTTCATCACTTTTGTCTAGGCACTTAAGTTACAGACAGCTTGCCTAAGCTTGTTTGCTGGAAAGAGCAGTCTACATTTTATATGGGAGGTTTGAGAGATTGTAAGACTCTAACCGGGGGTGGAAAACCTACACAATGTAATTTCTCAGTAGGTTTTGTACGAAAGAGACTCTTCACATAACTTCAGTCATACAATTCATTTTACATTCCACCAGTTTTACAAAAAAGTCAGTTCACTAGTCATGAAGAGACCTACTCCACCTGTTAAAATAGTTGTATAATGATATGCTTCAATTTTTTGACAGAAAGCCTGCACAACAAACTGAGGGGATGGATTTTGAAAGATGTTTACATTTACCAGACAGGGATGGTGTAACAATAAGATGCTGTTGGTTGCATTGTGGAGAATGTAGGATCCAGAGTTTTCAGAGCTTCAGCCATATTTGAGACTAAAAGTAAACTACTGCAGTCTCTGCTGCAGTGATTTTGACCATCTGTCTGTCCGAACATCCCTTTCACCAAACTTAATGAACGTGCATTACTAAATTGCCGGAGAACCCCTTTAATATCAAAAATATTGCTTAATGCCAGTCAAATCTGTAAAAATCGAATACCTTTTTCTGCAGTGGGTCAATTGAAGGTTGAAGCAAACACTAACAGTGATTTGGAGATGCTGTCAGACCTCTGTCTGGCATGAATCTCTGTAGTGAAAACAGCTGAATTCAGCGGTATTGCAGCCTTTACCTAAGCGGTAGCTTCCGAGGTGGATATGGTATTGCCAAATCTCTACCAGTAGACATATTTCTGCTATAGCACAACATGTACACTGTTTATATCTTCCAACCCCTCATTCTATAGACAAGATCAATCCAAACAGAGGCAATGTGCAGAAAGCAGAGTGGGTGCCAGCCAGTCCTCAGTGAAACACTTGACTCGTGATTTTTATAGAACATCTGCATTTCCAAACCTGTATTTGAGCTAAATGGAAAGATGTTTTAAATTTTATCTATGAAGAAGATCCTTGTTAATGTTAAAACATGTTACCAACAAAAAAACCTGTTGTATCCTGTCACTGACTGCAGCTTATGTTTACCAGCAGCACTAAAACACTGCAGACAACACCATAAACTGAGATGGCCGATAATGTCATCTTAGATACAGTTTATATAATAATGGAGGATTTAAAATTTAACAGGAATGAGGCATCTGTATGACTTGCAGTGTTTGTGCCCATGTGGGTGTTCTGTTTGACCGTTGTGCCAGACTGCAGGAATATTGATTTCCCGGGGTGTGTCACAGGCGCAGTCAGACAGAAAGGCCATCAGTGCACATGTTTACTTGTGTGTCTTGTAGTGCTGGGGCTGCAGCAAAACACTCCATATTGACTTTATTGATTAATCTTTTTTTCTGTAAAAAGCAGAAAGTAACGGCAAGAGTATGAGCAATAATCTCATATTAACAGAGCCCAAAGTGATGTATTAGAATTAGGGCTGGACAATATGGCTAAAAATGTTCTCACGATAAAAGGTTTCATATCTTTCGATATCGATAATTATCACGATAATTATCAAATCGTTATTTCTTTTGAGTTTAAAGGCTGATTTGTGCCCCTTAGTGAAAGCTGAAGAAACCTGATGGGTAATTGGGGTTTAAACTTTTCTTTATGGTCAACACAAACAGTGAATCCCTTCACAAATCCGAGGTAGAACATTGAAAACAATTATGATAAAACTTTGTCAACAATAGCACAAGTAAAATTAAGTAAAAAACTTTTTTCAGTCCTGTTTCCTCAACAAATAAACATCTAATAAAAAATTAAGTCCGTGGATTTAGGTGAATAAAATTAAACA